AACCAAACAGATGATATTCAAATTCTTCAACGTTTGGTTTACAATTCAATCAAAAACTCCTATTTATAGTGAGAATAGGTGCATGATACATAATGTGAGCACATGAATTATACTACTAATATGTAGAATGTGTTTATAAACTACACTATAATACATTAATTGGTTTATATATTTAAGTACGACTGATACATATATTCTAAGTAACAAATCCATGAAAATGTTCAATAAAGACATTCCAACATCTTAGAAACTCTTCAAGAACATGAGAAGATAGAAACTTCTTCTATTTCCGAGTAGAATGAACAACTTGAAAATATATATCATTTCGAACTTTCTATAGGGAAGTTCGGATTGAGATCCGTAGATCTTGTTACTCCTAACTCGAGGTTTTCCAATTACTTTATTTTCCTAGTAAATATGGCAATGATATTCATTGACACTGGTAATATTTTTGGTTCACCATGTTGTACAGTTCCTTAAAGTACTAAACTCAGCACAAAATGGAAACAATTTCAGGGAAAAAAAACCACACCAATCAACTAGATTAGCGATTTGCTATACTTTAGATCTCCCTTGTAGATGTACTCTTTTCAGCTGCTATCTTTGATTGAAAAACTCATGCGAGGGATTACAATGGCCACAGTATCTTCTTATCAGCTTATATGAAGGAAGTCATTGACCAGATATAGGTTGACTACTTATTTTGATTTGTTTTCTGCTTGCTTTGACCAGGAGGTACCCTATGCCCCTGGGTTTTTTAGTGTCAAACCAAAAAGGGGTACGAATCTCGTGCAAATGAAATGCAATGCAATGACTTAAAGGAGCCTTTAAGCCACTCATTTATGGATTCGTAGATGAAGAGAATATGCTCTTTAATAGAATCTTTCATGCCCTACGACTAGTTTGTTTGAATATTGAAGTATAATCCTTCATTCATCATATCAGAAATTGCTCTGCTACATATGTTAATTGTGGGAGACAAAACAATTAACTTATGATTTGTTTTATCTAAATTTCAGGAATTCAACTGTTCCTAAAGGACTTGTGCATGTCATATCACTAGACTTTTATGTGGGGAAAGACCAAGACAAAGAGATATTGATCATTTGGGTTACTTTTTTTTTTGATGTCCAACTTTAAATTAAAGAGAAAATAGGGAATAAAACTATAGAAGAAATTGCATGTTCTGGGCTGGAGAAAAATTACAGAAAAGGAAAAAATATTTGATCTGATTTATTTAGGTTTCAGGTAAATTGATAAATAATAATTGAAACCTAAAAACTACTTGGCTGTGCTAAGAACCAACCAGTTTTTTAGTTGTTTTGATTTGTTTTTATCAGCATCATTTAGAGATATGCTGCTGGAAAAAAGGGCTGAAACTCAGTTTATTCTGATTGAAGATTGAAGAATGAAGTATAACAAACAAAGACAGTGAAGAGGTTATCTACTCTTAACGGTTAAAGCGAACCCCTTTGTATTCATAAATACTGCCGATTATAGTTCGCTCATTTCATTTTACTTCGTCCATTTTTTTATAAGAACTCAGAAGGAAAGTTCCATTCAAATTCATTTGAAAATTTAACAACAAAATATTAAGTAATAGCATCAGAAAGTACTGATGCCAAAGACTGGGATAAAATAGAAGAAGAAAAGAAAATAGTTTAGCAGATCACAAAACAAATTAAGAAAAATATATACTATTGGATTTTCTTTTTCTCAAGTAAACAAAATGAATAAACATTAATCTTATCAATACTTAAAACAATTAATACAGATGATCAAATTAATTAGATTAAGATTAATGGAAGAAAGGTAATTTAGCAGCTGCTTAGTTGGTTGGTTGACCTAGTTGTCATCTTCATTAAATAATTAATGTATAACCTGAAGAATGCAGATCCAAGTTTACCTGTGGGTTTTTATTGATCTGATGACGAGACGAAGAACAATTTGATCAAAGGATCAATTTAACTGATGAAGTTAGTTTCTTGTTCATCCATTAATGGGAAGTGGAGCGTGAGGAATGAAGCCTGGTCCGAGACCATTATATCATAAATCAAGAACATGCAAATTAATGGAACTTGGTATTGATCTTGGAACAGCCTTCACTCCAAACGCCCCTCTTTCTTCTCTCTTATCTCTGTTTGTGTGTGTGTGAGAGTTTGCGTGTTGTGAATTGTGAATTGTGATTGAGTAATCAAAACCCTACAAAAGAAAGGTGCAAACAAAACCCTACATAAGAAAAAGCTGCAGGCACTCAATTTCACACATCAAAAGGTGGGAGAGAGAGTGCAGAGACAGGTACATATAAAACAAGAGGAAGAAAACGAATCTATGCCGACAACAACATGGTAGACAGGTCATATAAAGGTTAAAATAAAGAAAGCTGGTGGGTTTTTGAGAGGATGGTGTTGTCTCGTACTAAGACCTTTTTTAGAGAGAG